CTCGATCTGGAATGGGGTTCTCCGGTAACCTCCGGAAGCTGTCAGCGCCGTGATTTACACACGGATGCTTTGGGTCTCCTGATTGATGACATGGAGGTCTGTCCATGGCCGCATTCATTTGCTGCTTATTAAGAGCTCAGCCTTAAAAGGGAAAGCCGAGCACCCCCTTACCGCCCGCCCCCCACCACCCCCGCCAAAAAAAAAATGATATCAATATTTTTCATTCCCGATTCAGATTTCCCATATTGCCCATAGTGGAGGGCCGGAAGAGGAGGTCGTGCCTGCTGGGACAGAGGCTGGAATTGAGCTGTGGGAGAGTGGGGGGGGGGGGTCTCCTGCAAGCCAGAGCTCTTTGCTCTGAGCCCCGCGCTCCACCTGTGCTAAGGCGGGGGCCGGGGCATCCTCGGTCGGCCTGGCGGGCTCACACCTTGCAGCGTGCCGTCACTCACGCTTTCAACCACCGGCAAGACCAAGCCCCAGAAGAGTCTAAGACTTGGTGATTAAAAATTAAAAAAAAAAAAAAAAAAAGAATCCCTGCATATAGGATTCCCGAAATGCTGAGAAGAGGTAATTTCAAACAAGTGATACCCACGTGCAAAAGGCAAGCAATTAAAACTGCTCAAAGTTCCTTTCTTTCCTCCTCATCACCAGGGTGCGCACGCCAAGCCCACTGCATTTCTAAGGAGACAATCTATTTCTCCTTTGACCAGAGGGAAAAAAATCATTATTACATGATTAGTGGCTTCAGTTAGGTGAGAAGCAGCAGTGCAGGGAAGGCGGTGAGGATGAGTGGTATTAATTACCTAACACTTGCTGGCAAGATAATTTTATCAGTGATTTGGCCACTGGTAAGTTGCAGCTTTTGATAAAAGTGGGCAAGTTCTTAGCTACTGGAAACATGAGGGAAGGGGATGGTGTCAGATGAAATGCATCTCATCAGCTTTTCTCTGACAAACCAAATTCATTCCTTATGTAATTGATAACGGCCTTGTCCAATTATTTCGCACATTACAATACACAGAGGCCCCCTTTACAGGTTTTGCAGGGCTGTAATTAGCTATGCTAATATCCCCTTCATTGGTCCTAATATTGCTCAACACCTTTTGCCATCCTGGAACCCACGAGAGCCCCATGGCCTGTCAGGACCGCTGATTATTGAGAAGGATAGCTTTAATCAAACATAATTGCAGTTAATTTTTCTCTCCTGCTCTCTGTTGCCAGCGTCTAACGCCACGGACTCCTTGATATTCCATTAAATTACAATTAAGCAGCCTCCTTTGTTTCCCATCGTCCTGAACACCACCACAAAGTTGTGCGGCCGTTTAAAGGAGAGCTGTTTGTCCTAATTGCCTACGCGCACACAAAGGGCCAATTTACACAATGCCCATGTAGAATTTAAACAGTTCATAATGTAATGGATATTACACAGGAGCCTAACACTACAATTAAAATGATTTTCATCAGATAGAGAAGCTCTGGTTAATCAGCTTCATAAAAGTAAATATAAATGAACTAATTCATAGCTTAAACACACAGAAGTGGAGCAGACTCTGAAATGAGTCACTGCGGTGGGGGCTCGCCCCGTATCGTGGTGGCCGGAGGCTCCGGTCCCGACGGTTGGGCCCGCTGCTTGTCGTGGGCCCGCTCGGGGCGTCCTCGTCGGCCGCGGCTGCCCGGGAGGATGCTGACCTGGGAGCAGCCGGGACCAAACTCAACTTTCCTTGGCGGGCGCAGCCGGGTGGCGGTTCCCGAAGACGCGAGGGCCTGCCCCGGGGTGGGGGTCTGGGTCTGCAGCGGGGGTCGCAGGTACCCCTCGCCGGAGCCCGTGGCTCTCCCGCCCCGCCCCCCGGGCACCCACCTTCCAGGTGCTGGTGAGCAGGCCGCCCATGTGGCCTCTGCTAATCCCCGCACGCTTTCAGAGCTGAAACCTGGTTTCAGAAGTAATGAGATCATACCTCTCCCCCTTTTCTAATCGCTACTGAGAACTTTCCAGGATTCTGCACGCGGTCTCCGAGCAGAATATTACCGGGGAGTTTCAGGGGCCGTGCAGCAGTTTGCCCTGGGCTGCTGTCTTCCCTCCTGCCTGAGAGAAACAAGTAAATAAAGCCCATATTTCAAGCTTGATTTACTCTGGTACCTACTGTGAAAGCTGATGGCTCTTTAGGGAAATAAAGACAGGGTCAGGGAATTAGTGTACATAATGGTCATTTTGATGATGGGCCAACAGATGCAATGGGAAGCACACTGTACACAATTAAGCATAATGTACTAATGACAGGTTAGAATTTTTATCGCCTCTTTGCCATCGAGCAGCAAATCCATGTTTAGCAGTAATAAAGAGTTTATTGGTGTTAAAGCCAAAGATTTTCTGACATAGGAAAGATTTTTCCTTTCATAACAAGAGTATTAAATCCTTTGTGTACCAGACTCTGCAAGTGAGATATGTAAAGTGGTTGTCAGATATTTCTTAGGGAAAAAAAAAAAAGCCAATTACAGGGTAATTGAGTAAAAGGATGAGAATTATCATTTGACTTCACGTGTAGGGCATCCAGGGTCCTCACCCTCCCCAGACGTCATCACAGGCGTGTCGCCGAGCCCTGGCTAGCGCCAGCGTCCCCTCACGCTCTCCGTGCTTGCCTATGGTGTCAGCAGTCCCACGCCCTCTGCCGTGGGAAGGCCTAATTGAATCCTTCGGCTCGACGTCACCAAAACAGAGCTAAAAAGTGAGCACGAGGCTCCTCTTCCTGGCTGCAGCTTCCTCTCCCTGGCCCTGGATGTGGTGCCTGATTTGGCCTGTGTGATGGGGACCTGGGCGCTCTCCAGGGCCGTGCACACTACACCTCACCCCCACCTCCAACCCCAGTGTGCTTCCACGGCTCACGAGACATGTGGGATCCGGGCAGAAACTACCATCGCCACATCCAGGATGAGCGCGTGTCTACCTGCGCCCGAGCCAGTCCCCGGGAATGCTTAGGTGTTCGCGGGGGCCCGGCCCCTAACTTGGCGCTGCTACGTTTGCACGCCCCTGGCGGTGGTCCAGGCCCGAGAGCCCCCCTCGCGGCCCCGGCTGTTAAAGACCAGCCGCAAAACCCGCTCCTCTCTCTTAGAGGTAAAAGGTGAACTGGCTAAAAAGACATCAAGGAATGTAAGGAAATCTCCTCTGGGGGTGGGGCAAGAAAAAAAAAATATTTCACATCACAATAAAAGCTCCCCGTTAGATGGCTCTGTACAGATGAGAGCGTCTCAGGCCGGCGCCTGCTCAGAAGATTAGCCGGGTGGTAATGTGTGGCATAATTGCACCATGTGGCTGTCCCCGAAGTGAAAACCTAATTGCCTGACAGGACGATAACTTTGTGACGCCCTCACCTTGTTAGGGCCTTCCTGATGCAGTTCAAATGCATTGTGGCCGCAGGTGCGTCTAATTTACCTCTCTGCAGAGCGCGTGGAGTTTAATTGCACAGTGGTTGTTAGGAAAAATTGGTGGGTGGAATATCAAGTGACTTACTGTATGCTGATGGCAGATGGTGCTGAGAGGCACCGCGAGCTAAGTGTAGAGGTGAGGTGAGTTAATAAAAGATGTAAATTCTGGCCTAAAATAGTGAGGCCTGGTGGTATGTAAGAAAATTTAATTAAGTGGCCACTATTCTTTTCCCCATCAATTGGGTTTTCCTCTGCCGCGGTGAAAAGTCACCCGGGATGTGCTGGGAACGCAGGTAGAGAAATGAGCCTTCGTCCGCGGAGTCTTTCTTATTTTCTGATATGATAATTGTCAACAAGGAACCTTGACCGTAAGGTTGAGTTCAAGGGAATCACGTGACACTTCATGAAAAATTAATAATCCTCAGGTAGGACAGAGGATGTTGGGACAGAGAAGAGAGAGGAGTTTTGTTGGTAGCCTTGCTGGCCAGGATGCTCAGACGCGGGAAGAGGGCGCGGATGTCGGCCCAGAGGACCCTACCCCCTGCCCTGCCCTGCCCCACCGGGTCGGCCCGCAGTGGATGTGGCCTCGTCAAGACGAGGCAGAGCAAGACCCCCCCCTTGCAGGAGCAAGACCCCTCCCATGTCCCCCCGTGGTGGGCGCTCCTGCCAGGCCTCCCAGCGCCCGCACACACGTGAGCCAGGGCTTGTGCACTTGTCACTGAGCACGCCGCCATGGAGGGGACAGCGTGATGAGGTCTTTGTCACAGCATCTCAACACGCTGTCAGGACCCCTGAATCTTCATGCCTCAGAGCGCAGGGGCAGGGCTGGGCGGGAATCAGAAACGCTCTCGCCCCTGAGCCCAGCCCAGCGGCCGCTTCTCCTGCCCCCGACCTGAGCCACAGCTTCATCGCTGTATCAAAATCCTTGATTATTTCCTTTAAAAACACAGGTAGGCCCGTCACGGCAGTCCTTGCAGTCCTCGAGACACACCCCCACGTCCTCTCTTTTCTCAAGGGTCCTGCCCACGGTAACTTTTACGATACGTCCTGGGAAGCCTGTTCACCCAGCAGTGGCGTCCCCTGGGGCCGGCTGGCCAGATGCAGCTTAGCGCATCCAGTGAAGGTTGAGTCACGGTAGAAGCAAGGATAGGTAGGACAGGTGGGCCTTGGGACCTCTCCTAAGGTGAGGTTTGCCATCTACCCAGGACTTGAGTGGGACCAGGCATCCCATATTCTTACTTGGTGAAGCTGGCAGCCCCGTCGGGTGGACCGTCCCCCAGCGGGTACCATGCAGGGGTCCAGGCCATACACAGCTGGTCCAAGTCACAGTGGCTGCCACAAAGCCTGGAGACCCGCGACGTCAAGATAGGAGTCGCTGCTGGGGTCTGTGGCCGTCCCTGCGCTGGCCGGCAGACCCTGAGGTGCCCGCCGCCAGGGTGGCATCTTGGTACCACCCCCTGCAGGTGGCGGGCGGGCGGCCGCGGGTAGCCTCCACCTCTCCCCGCGCAACCGCGTCTTTCTAAAAGTTTGTGAGTTTGTCTGATGACCCTAACAAATATCCGTTTTTTGTATTTTTATAGATTCTTTCTAAAGTTTTTCCTCAAGTGCAATCAGAACTGTTTGAAGAATGCAGGCAACCCTCGAGATATGCGGAGATTCCAGGTACACGTCTCTCAAAGACACGCGGCCTCGGTCCGGACTTTTAACGTGAAATTTGCTTTCTCTGATGTTGCAATTGTTCAGAAAACAGTCTCTAGTTCTCCGAGGAGCAAACCAGAATTGGTTCATTTGATAAAATACTCCAACCAAATTGCTTTAACAACGATTCGGCCCCTTCCGTACGCCGGATTCACGGCATCTGTGCACGGCCCACGGCAGCCGGCGTTGGCTCTGCACACATGACCTCGGCTTTGTAAGGCGCGCCTCCGAGGGGGGTTGGCCGTGCCCAGCCTGTGCATAGGGCCGCCAGGCACCTGGAGGTGGGAGCTCTCAGAGCTGCAGGCGAGGCGGGGCTCCCCCTTCCTTTCAGCCACGGTGTCATAAAGACGGTTTTAGAATCTTCTCAAACTCGTTCGTATGCAACGGAGCCTGTTCCCCAGTTGCACGTAGTCACGTCCCGTTGATTGGAACTGGGAGCCCGTGCTCAGCGGCCCGCCTTTTAGGGATGGACGGGTGGAGTCTTCACGGGCTGAGCCACAGGTGCAGGCAGTTGGGTGAGCACGAGACCTTGGCTCCTCCTCACGAAGGAGGCTGCACCTGTTTGACGCAGGCCTCTACAAGTTCCAGAATGTTCTCCGAGGTCAGGCTCCTCTCCCTCGGGGTGGTGTGTTCTTGCTTTCCTTAAGCCCACACCTAATTGCTAGACCACGTTCCTGGATGCAGGCGAACTCATACTCTGGTTTGCTTCAGAGGATTCATCTCGAGGCAGGAAGGTAGAGAGCTTAGATGGGTTATCGCTGAGTTCATGTTTTTCTTGCCTTTGTGAATGATTTAGGAGGTTACTTCAGGGTGGAAGGTACTCCACGCACAATGGATTATTTGGCCGATTTTAATTGTAAAAATACTCTGGGCTGGGACACAGAACCGCTGCTCGTCCCTACCAACCATAGAAGAATCTGGCAGCTAGCGGGAGCAAGCGCTAGATGGGAGGACTTAGGATCAAACCGCTCAAGGTCATTTTTAGAAATTTAACTTATGTTCCAGTCCTTTAGGCCATGTGACATTGGTCTAGCCAGCCAGCCAGCCAACCAGAGAAGGGTGTGTGGGCTGGTCCACATTACACTCCGCGGGTGGGGACGGTGTCTCTCGTAAACAGCTGGGCCCAATTCCACTTTCTTGCCCCAGGCTGCCCGGTGATACCAGCCCATCTAAGCGGAGTGGAGGTCACCCATTGTCTCACATGGGCCAACACGCCATCAGTTGCAAATGAGCCCACAGTTACTAGAAGGATTTGCTCCACTCTCTGGCTCATCTCCTCGCCTCTCAGGAGGTTTACCTGGACCTAAGAGTATGTCAGGGTATTACTGACAGTATTTCCAGCTGCCTTCACCAACTCAGCACCTTCCTGTAGGTGCACTGCAGGGCTGGCCCAGGCCAAGACACAAAACACAGCTTGTCTGCTTCCTCTGCTGAGCCACATGCTTTTCCCTTGGTGACTGACCTATATAGAGATGACAGAGCAAAGACAGTGTCCTTTTTTTTTTTTAAATTTTTATTTTTACCTTTCTTGTTTCTTTAACGTATCATGGTCTAAGAACTTGAGGAGGGTCAAGTCTGCGGCTCAGCATTAGTTACGGGGCCTTGCCTCATGCTCGGGTGGTGGTTGGTTTCCTCCAGAGCCCAGGCCAGGAGCAGGCCTGTGTCCTGGGGGCAGAGGCTGCTGGACCCTGCGGATGCCCACCCCACGGGCGAGGGTCCAGGACAAGAGGATGACATGTCTGAAACGGGACGTGGGGACGCCGACGGCGGTGCCCTCAGTGCTTTGAGGCTCAGAGGGGCCCAGTATTGTGGAGACTCCAGCAGTCTCGGCAAGGCCTACCTGGGAAAGAAGTGTCAAGGAAGCTGCCCCCGTGAGGGCGTTTTGGGGGGGTGTGGTGGGCACACCGCCTGCTTCACGACTTCCTGTGGGGACTGAGACTTTTTATGAAAAAAAAAATCAATTACACATATATTCAAATGTATAGACACATGTATATGTCATGTATATATATACACACATACATGGTTTTGACCTCTTTTAACCCCTAAAAATGCTATTTTTAAAAAGATTTTTGATCACTCTTATTTTTTTCCTAATAAACTTTTTTTGGGGGGAGGGGCAGAGGGAGAGAGCAAATCTCAGGCAGATTCTCAGGTTGAGCACAGAACCTGACACGGGGCTCGACCCCAAGACCCTGAGATGATGACCCTAGCCAAAATCCAGAGTCGGACGCCTAACCGACTGAGCCAACCAGGTGCCCCTCTAGTAGAGTGGTTTTCTTAAAAGGCAGTTTTAGGATTTTGGGAAGAATCCTTGGAAGGTTCTGAGAACTGCCATGCACCCCCAGGCACGCCCCATCCCCGTTGGCCCTGGTGCTAACTCCTGCGTTGGCCGGGCACCCTGGCTACGTAGACCGGACCAGGGTTACATTAACTGTGGTCCGCTGCAGCTGTGGCCATTAGGAGTCATTTTCCGGGGCGTGTTTGGACACGTGCCGGGCAGCGGGGAAGGCAGACGTGGACTGGGAACCCCTTCCATTTCCTCGTCTCCTGCTCCAGCTGCGTGTTTCTCTGTGGGGTTGTCCTCGTCGATGGTGGCGCCGGCCCTCATCGCCCCAGTGTGGCCGGGAGCCAGGCTCCCCGCGCCCCCGACGCAGGCTCCCGCTGCACGAGTCCTGCTGGGAGACCCAGACCGAACCAGGGCTTACGTCTTGGCCGCTGGTATCAGCTCTTCGGGAGATAACGGACCACGCAGGCCCACCTCTGCTTAAGAAACATCTGGAGGCCGGGCAGTGAGTCCCGTTTCCCCGAGTCCATTCAAGGGTGCCGTCTCTGGGGTGCTTCGGCACAAGCTCACCTGGGACGGCGCCTGGGGTCGGCAAGGCGGTCCAGCGGCAGGGGCCTTGCCGTCCCCCGCGGTGAACTTGAGAAAGGATGCTTGCTCTGGATTGAAAACGCTGTCACTATTCATATCCAGCCTGGTCCTCTCAGGTGCAGAAAGTTCGTTACCAGACGTTAGATGTAATTGTCGCATCGACCCAGGGATCCTGGATGATGGGCTGGGGTGGCGGGAGCGCTTCTGGTTTAGGGAGCTTAGCTTGTTTTTTGGCAACTCTGAATCCTCACAACTCTTCAAGGGAGGACCGGTCTCAAGTGAACTAATTTTAATTAGATAAACTATCTAATCGATATGTGAACAGATCAATCAAAACAGCAGCTTTAAAACGAGCGGCTGGAGGGGTGTTTCTGAAGCTAATGGCTAGAAGAATATTTCTCTGAATTGAATTCACTTGTTAGCATAATAGGAGATTAAACTGTAATTAGTGTAACGGGTTTTGAAGAGAAGCAATCTTGAGTCAAAACAAAGCAAAACAACCCGCCCACCCCCACCAGCCAAAAAAGCTGCGGGTGCTGGCGGCCGGGAGGCCCCCCCCAGGCGCGGGCGCGGCGCGGGGTGCGCGGCGGCTTCTGTTTCAGCCCCGGGCGGCTGTGCTTCCCTCCGCCAGCCCGTTTCATATCCACTTCGTCTTCGCAGGTTGTTGTGTCGACAACAGTCAACGTGGACGGCCACGTGCTGGCCGTGTCTGACAACATGTTTGTGCACAACAATTCCAAACACGGGCGGCGGGCCCGCCGCCTAGACCCGTCAGAAGGTACGGCCCCTTCTTATCTGGAAAATGGTAGGCACATGTTACATGTCTTTTTTTATTTGCAATGCTTCTTTTCTTTTGCACCATCCTTTATGTTGATCCATGTCACGCTGCCCTCACCAGGGGCCCCTCCCGGGTCTGCGGGCCCCGCCTGGGCCTGGCCGCTTGCCCCTCGGAGCCCGCCTCCCCTTGTGGAGGGGCCTCGCCCACCTCACCTGCCATGGGCTTTCACTTTATTGTTTGTTTCTAAGCTTTCTTTTGCTTGGAGCTTTTCTTGCAGTTTTAGTTTATTTGGTTTTATTTTGGCTGTCCGAAGCCCCCATCCAGAAGGTCATCCCCGGATACTCGGTGCACGTGGCGGCGGGGGGGGGGGGTCACGGGGCTGCCCATCAGCTCAGAACAGACTTCTGGAAGGACCATTTCCTGTCCCTGGATGGAGCGGGTTGGGGGCAGGGTGAAGGGAGTGAGGAAAAAAATCCGCATAAAATGTTTTGTACCAAATGCTTGCAAGTGATTGACTTCCTGTTAGAAGAACTTCACTAAGACTGATAGGCAGGGGGCGGTGGTCTCGGACGTGGAGTCCGCATCCAGAGAGGCTTCAGGTGCAGAGAGGGGTCCCCAGCGCCTCCCTCCCGCGTGTCCCCACCACTCCTCACACCCCCTGGTCCTCTGTACCAAAACAATTTCCAATAATCATGAGATTCGGACCAACACAAATCGTTGAGAAAGTAACAAACACGAGGTTTTGTTTTTTTGTTTTTGTTTTTGTTTTTGTTTTTTTCTGCAAGTGAATTGCAAACCAAACAGCATGGTTGACTCTTTTGGAGCAAAGAGCCCATAAAACCAAACCATTTTAAGACAGATCCTCTACACCGAGGCCTCGAATTCGGGAGCCGCGCGTGAGGCAGACAGATGCGCACACGGGAAAATGAATGAAGCGTGTGTAGGTTATCAGAATGAAATAGGACTCAGACCTAGAAAAACTGGAAGACAGTTTATGAATCTGCTGTGGTCCACAAAAATAAACTAATTTGTTTTTCTACATTAATGACTAAGGTATAAGAGAACAAAAATACCGTAATTAAAGGTCGCCCTGGGCACCAGAGTCATTAGAATCTGTGACGTACTGTTTATCTCCTTCGTAGGCACTGAAGGTAGGTGTGTGTTTTGCTTAGCAACCATCACTAATGAGGTTCACAATTAAGAAGGTTGAATCCCTGGTCCTCGTCCCCTGCTTCCCCAGAGAGCCAGAGCTCACAACGCA